CCAGTCATAGTAGGATTGCAGGTAGGTTTCTGCCCAGACTAGTCCTGTTTCCCCACTGCACATGGCTGGACCTGAAGCATCTCAACTTGTGTCAGGTGCTCTCCTGCCATGGTTGGTGGCTTTGCCCATTATTGACCTGACATGTATGCCCATCCCTGCAGCCAAGATCAATAATGAACGGGGCCTCTGGAACCCCTGGACAGTGTAGCAGGGGCTGGGAGCCACACTCCTAGGAGACACAGGGTGATCTGACCCCCTCTAGAGCTGCTGCTATCCTCCTGTCTCTAGCATTTAGGGTGTGGAAAGGGCACAGGAAGCACAATGGGAATTTGAATTTCCCCTTCACGTGTCTGCAGGCCTGAGAATGGATGGAGGATGGGTAGTGTATGTGAGAAGTGAGGATGAGGGGGACAGATGGCTGGTAGGGGGTGGTGAGTCAGTGATGGGGGGCTGGCAGGAGTTGGGGGCAGGCACAGTGAGGGGTGCCCTGACCCTTTCCAGTGTGGGGATGACACTGGCCCCTCCACCCCCGCCCAGAGCTATTTCTGGTCTCAGTGTGCTGAGCTGTTCTGCCTTGTAACTGTGGTCTGTGACGTGACCACTTCACAGGGACATTGTTGGTATCTGTTGGATCTATGAATCCTGAGATGACCAATGTCCCAACCCCTCTACAACCTTCTGACCCCAGCCTCTAGGATAGGGGGCCCCAGCTCAGGACCTCCCTGAAAATGTCCCCTTCCAGGCACTAATGGCACAAGAGAAAATCATGTGCTCCCAGTACCTACCCAACAGGCTTGCATCCTGGACCCCAGCATCCTCACAGCCACTGTTCCTGCCCAGGCCACACAGAAGCCAAGCTTAGTGTGTGGGCTGGACTCTCTTAGAGGTCACCTTCAGGCCGCTCTGTGGCTCCTGCCCTTCCCTTCCCTTCCTACTGGATGGTCTTGAGATAAGAGCAGGACAGGCCTTAACCATTCACTGCCTCAGTTTCCTAATCTGAAAACAGACTGGTAATATTGATCAGAAAACTGATTCTTATGTAGTGCCTGACACCTCAAGCTTTTTTATCCAGCTAGTCCGATCTCCCAATGATTTTGTAGGGTGTTTCTCTTGGGGTAGGTATGAAGACACTAGGGCACTGAGCTGGTGGTTGATGCTCTGGACTTGTAATACTGACAGCCCTGAACTGTCTCTTGGCCTTGTCAGGTGGGGACAGAGATGTCCCCAGGCTAGGGGAAGGCACAGAGTAGGAGGTGCTGTGAACAGAGGGTCCCTGGGGAAGACACCAAAGATGCCAATCCCACCTCAGCTCTGTGGGCTGCTGAGGTGAGCTGCTGACCTCAGCAGCAGCCTGCTTGCTGGCTCCTGTGCTCCTGTGGTTGCTGGGTGAGTCCCGAAACCTCCCTCCGCTCCCCCTCCTTCCCTCAGCACATCCTTCTATCCCCCTTGCCCCCTCCCCTCTGCCCCTGCCCTCCTCTTCCTGGCTCCTCCCATCTCCTTCCCCTCTTCTCTTTCCCCTCCTCCCTCCCCTACCCTCCTCCCATCCTTCTTCCCCTTCCGCACTCTCCTCCCTCTTCTCCCTCTCTTCTCTCCTCCTCCCCTCTTTCCCCCTCCTCCCTCCCTCCACCCTCCCTCCTGCAGTGAATGTGAACCTGGGCTTTTTGCTCATAAGACCTGATGGTGCAGGATGAATAGTATGTAGCTCAGTAGTTATATCCCATTCCATCTGGCTGCCTGGGGGGACTCTGGACTAGTATCCAGTCACTGTCCTTCCTGGGAAATTTCGATGCCTTCTGGGCAGGATGGATAGCCCTCTCCCAACCATGTCCTCATACCAGCATGGTTTCTGAACCAGACCTAGGAGCCCCTAGCCATGACCCAGCCCCACCGCCAGAGGGGCCATCCATGAGGAGAGCCCTGGAAGAGACCCCCACCTGGCAGGTCTGACAAGAATTGACCTGAGAATAGCAAGAGGGGCACCAGTTTGTGCACAGGCTCAGGTGGCCACAGGGCTGGCCTGACCTTGGGGTGGCTGCAGGGGTCTGAGGGGCAATCCACGTGGTTCCTATGTGTGAGAACTGGAGCCCTTGCAGGTCTGTTTTCTCCCCAGATGTTTCTGGAGTCACACTCACACTGGATGATCACTGAGAGTCGGGACCTGAATGAGATGGTGAGAGTGGCAGGGGTTGCCAGGCTGATCTCCAGGAAGAGGGCAGAATCTCCTGGGAGAATTAATGGTCAGGTTGGAGAGAAAAATAGGAGAGATAGGCAAGGAGGGGACCGGCCCTGGAGGTCAGGAGCCCTGTAGTTCAGAAGGCTACAAAGGCCAGGGGGTTGGGCCAGTGAGGCTTTTTGGGGGGTAGGGAGGGGTTGCTTTCCAAGGTGGAGAGCAGGAAGAGGTCAGATGGGGCAGCCGTGGCGTAAGGTCAGGGCACACCCTCCCGACTGCCTGGTTGGGTTTTCTGTATTCCCTGGGCCCCCACTGTGAATACGAACCAATGCCGCAAAGTTGGGTTTGATTATCTCATATAAAGATGCCCCCTCATGCTTGCTCAGCGGAGGGGTTGCTATGGAGACCAGCGGGCAGGCCCCAAGGGGGGCCAGGCTGGAGCCAATTACTGTGGCTGCAGCAGAAGAGAGCCCACCCCGGCCGCTGTGCTGACAGCAGGGCCGGTGCGGAGGGCCGACTCTCAGAAGTTGGTTTCCAAAAAGCAGTTGTCTCGGCAGGAATAGAGCCTTGTCTTTGTGCCTGATACCTGCTGCTAGCAGGGCTGAGTGCCACGTGGCCACTCTCCCAGTTGCCTGCCTCCCCTGCGTGGCTCAGTCTGGAGTCAACATGGGCATCTATACCAGTGAACTTGCAGACCACACCTCAGGTCTTGGGGTCCACAGGACATAGTGCAGTGGTAGCCTAGCTCAGTCATGATGTGAGGGACATGGTCACCATGTATGGTAGGTAGCACAGAGAACTTATCATTATGGCACAGAGAGGTTGGTGGGATGCCACGGTTGGTGATGTGCACAGTCTGTGGCATGGCTTGACTGGTGATATGGCCCAGTCATAGCAGTGAGCCTGACCAGTGAGCACTGAGGGCCCCCACCCCAACCAGCCCCAGGTCTTTCTGAATTCCTGGGCTAGGAAATACCGTTTATATAGCACAGTGCCTGCCTGTGACAGCAGGTGAAAGAAACACTGTGGGAAGATGCATAAGAAGGAAGCAGGGGTGTCAGTAGTTTAAATAGAACATCAGGCCAAAATGCCTCTCATGCATAGCCAGCCTTGGGAAGGTTACCCAGGGCTTGGGGTTCCTGGGCTTCTGACTTTCTGGACCAACAAATGGCCCCAAACCCAGCAAGGCAGAGTTCAGAAGAGGAGACTCCTGGACAGGCTCCCAGGACCTGGGGACATGTTTAATGACTGTTAACACTTAACTGGTTTGCTGGGACTCTGGATTTAGAGCAATTGTTGTGCTCTAGGTAGAAGAGGACCCCTGTGGCAGGGGGCCCAGCATAGCATGGAAGGCCCAAGGGTCACAGTCCTGGCTGGTTGAAGCTAGACCATGGCTGTCTCCCTTCTCCCTCTCGACTCCAACCCCAGCACTTAGCCGGCCTCCTGTCTGCAGAATCCTGCTCTTAGCTAGCTGCCAAGGAAGGTGTTAGCTGTCAACGAAGGTGTTAGCTGATAACTCAAGTGTTAGCTGATAAGCCATAACCCTCCCAAGGGGATTCACATTTTAATAGACTCACTCCTGAAGGCGAGGCAGGCTGAAAAAACCTTCAGCATTCAAAGGGGGCAGGGAATCTAATGGTGGGATAATAGACCCTGCTGTTGAGGCCAGGTCTCCCTAGCCCCAGGAGAAGTCACTGAAGGCCCAGGAGTGTCTGTCCCTTCAAGGGAAGAGAGGGTGCAACACCATGAGCAGGGGGAGATTGCTGCTGGGAGGCTGTCCCAGTTGAGTGTGCACCTGGGTTGGAGAGTTGAGGGCAGCTGGGACCATGCAGTGACTGGCTGGGAAGAGTGAACTCTTCCCCTGGGAGGGGATCAAGCAGAGAATGAGGCCAGGGGAGGAGGCTGCAGGAAGGGTTCCAAGCCAAGTCAGGAAGTGCTTAAAAGGGAGGATGTGTGGAGGAGGGAGCAGCCTGCTGGGGGCAGGGTACTCTGGGATGGGGACTGTACTCCTTCACCCCATGCCCTTCCTATACCCAGACCCCTGTTCCTGTGATAGCAGAGGTGCTAGTTGGTAGACTCACTCCATACCCCCTGGAACCCATAGTGGCTGTTATTTGCAGTTTTTTTCATTAAATCACAACTCCCCATTGTGAAATGAGGGCGGCTCCCCAGACTCCCAGATGCTAGGGTTTATCAAGAGCTACAAGGGCCTAGGCAAGGCATAGGGTTCTGAACCTCAGTGTGCCTCCTTCTGCAATCTGGGAGGAGGATTTCTGTATAAGCTACCCAAACCTCAGGAGCTGACAGACTAGGAATGAGGGTTAGATTGCAGCTCCACTACCTGAACCCCACTTCCTAGTAGTCCCTGAGCTCAGTCTGGGTGGTCCTACAATGTTTGCCAAGAGCTGGTCTCCTCCTCTCCAGCATGGCCTGCAAGCTGTTAGAGGGCTGGGTGCAGGCAGACCAGGATAATGCTTGGAATATGGGGATGGAGACCAGGCCCAGGGAGACTCTGTTCACTAGAGTCCCAAGAACGTATATGCAGATGTGAGCAATAGTCCTTCACATAGGTATTTGTTGTGTGACCTAGTAGGCTAACTTTGATAAGTGGGTATGAGTATCTGGAAGGGTGCAGTGGGGAGTCTATAGACATGGTTTCCCAGAGTGTATGGCTCCAGGCGCAAGTTATAGCCAAGCATCATCTATGTAGTATGAAAGCAAGGATCCCCAAACCTCCAAATCCCAGGCCACATCTCAGACCTGGCCCCAACATGGCCTCCCAGTCCCTTAGGGATCTCTTACCCCTAACCACCCTTTCTTCTACCCACAGGAAGCCGGCTGCTGGCATGGGTGCTATGGCTACAGGCTTGGCAGGTGGCAGCACCGTGCCCAGGTGCCTGTGTGTGCTACAATGAGCCCAAAGTGACAACAAGCTGCCCCCAACAAGGCCTGCAGGCTGTGCCCATTGGCATCCCAGCCTCCAGCCAGCGCATCTTCCTGCATGGCAACCGCATCTCCCATGTGCCAGCTGCTGGTTTCCACGCCTGCCGCAATCTCACCATCCTGTGGCTACACTCCAATGCACTGGCCCGGATTGATGCCACTGCGTTCTCTGGCCTGACCCTCCTGGAGCAACTGGATCTCAGTGACAATGCCCAGCTTCGTACCGTGGACCCTGCCACATTCCAAGGCTTGGGCCGCCTGCACACATTGCACCTGGACCGCTGTGGCTTGCAGGAACTGGGCCCTGGCCTGTTCCGTGGCCTGGCTGCCTTGCAGTACCTCTATCTTCAAGACAATGGGCTGCAGGCACTGCCAGACGATGCCTTCCGTGACCTGGGCAACCTCACGCACCTTTTCCTTCACGGTAACCGCATCCCCAGCGTGCCTGAGCGCGCCTTCCGTGGCCTGCACAGTCTCGACCGTCTCCTCCTGCACCAGAATCGTGTGGCCTATGTGCACCCACACGCCTTCCGTGACCTTGGCCGCCTCATGACACTCTACCTGTTTGCCAACAACCTCTCAATGCTGCCTGCAGAGGCACTGGCACCTCTACGTGCTCTACAGTATTTGCGGCTCAATGACAACCCCTGGGTATGCGACTGCCGGGCACGCCCACTCTGGGCCTGGCTGCAGAAGTTTCGAGGTTCCTCATCTGAGGTGCTCTGCAACCTGCCCATGCGCCTGGCTGGCCGTGACCTCAAGCGTCTGGCTGCCAATGACCTAGAGGGCTGTGCTGTGGCAGCCAGGCCATTCCATCCCATCTGGACCAGCGGGGCCACTGATGAGGAGCTGCTGGGGCTGCCCAAATGCTGCCAACCGGACGCTGCAGACAAGGCCTCGGTGCTAGAATCTGGGAGGCCAGCCTCTGCTGGCAATGCACTCAAGGGGCGTGTGCCACCTGGTGACAGCCCACCAGGCAACAGCTCAGGCCCACGTCACATCAATGACTCTCCCTTTGGGACCCTGCCCAGCTCTGCTGAGCCCCCACTGACTGCACTGCAGCCAGAGGGGTCTGAGTCACCAGGAGTCCCCACCACTGGTCCTCGTCGAAGGCCAGGCTGTTCCCGCAAGAACCGCACCCGCAGTCAGTGTCGTCTAGGACAGGCGGGAAGTGGGGGCAGCGGGACAAGTGATGCCGAGGGTTCAGGTGCCCTGCCAGCCCTGGCCTGCAGCCTTGTGCCCCTTGGCCTTGTGCTGGTACTGTGGACAATGTTTGCACCATGCTGACCAGCTACGACCCCAGAACCTCTCAGCAGCCAGGTGTGTGTACATAGGGGGTCTCCCAACATGTCGCCAGCCAGCGCCAGGGACAGGTCCCGTTGGGCAGGCCAGTCCTCCCTGATGGACGCCTCCCCACCAGCCCAACCCCATCTCCACCCCATCATGTTTACAGGGTTTGGGGCAGCGTTTGTTCCAGAACGCAGTCTCCCACCCGGATCGCGGTATATAGAGATATGCATTTTATTTTACTTGTGTAAAAATATTGGACGATGTGGAATAAAGAGCTCTTTTCTTAAAACTATGGCCTCTCAGGCTGAGGTGCTATGAGTGGTAAGAGGCAGGGGTGGGACCAGGTGCTGCGCCTCACTGGACACCATCACACAAGGCCCCTGAGGAGAAGTGGAGTCATCCAGCTGCATGCACCAGGTATGACATGGTATCCCTGCCAACCTCTGAGGTTGCTCCTGAGCCCAAACACCTACCCTGAGAGCTGGACTGACAGAGCATATGCCAGGCCCTTGGGTCTAGATGAAGCTGCTTTTGTGGGGACACCTGCTCTAGTACCTTCCACTCAACTTTGCATTGCCCCCAAGAGGATACTGAGGATAAGAGATGAAGAACATTCTCCCTCTTCTGGGAGATGGACAGGAGTAGGGTAGCCCTGAAGGACAGTTGAGTTGGTAAAGCCAGGCTTGGGGCCAGGCAGGAACTGTGTACACCTTCCTACCACTGCCCAGGGTTACAGCCAGATTCCTATTCCTCTTACAACATACCCACAGCCCAGAAACAGTCCCTTGAGGATTTGCATGCCCTTGTACACATGTGCACAACACACAGATATGACCAGGCAGGAGCTACATGCATGCATGCCTATGTTTGAAAAAAGCACCCGCAGCACAGACAAAAATATAAGTGTGTGCACACTTTCCCAAGGCCTAGGCCAGGGAGGACTCAGAACAAAAGGGAAAGGGGCCACGTGGCCAAGAAACTATGTAGGGTGCTTACAGGGAAGGCCCCTCCCCCACAGGGCAGGGGCTGGGGAGGAGGAGGAGAAAAATTCAGTGATTTGGGGGAGGGAACGGCAGAGGGGAACATTGCTGGTGGAGCCAGATGGCCGTGGGGGCGGCTGGGGCTCTAGAAGCCCAGGGGAGGAGGAGAGTGTGGGGGAATGTGCTCAGCAACCAAAGCCCCCAGCTCTCCCTCAAGCTCCTCAGTGCTGCCACCCAAGGTGGGGGACTCAGGACAGATTCAGGTTTCTGTGGTCCTGTGTGGCCTTACCTCAGCAGGTTATGCCCACTGGCACTGCCCACTCCCTGCATGGTTCCCCACATTTGGGCCTGCAGTTTCCCCTCTACTTGGTGGACACCAGCACACCTGAGCTTCTGGGGCTACCCAAATGCTTCCACAGATGCTGCAGACAAGGCCCAAGTGCTAGAGTCCAGGAGGCCAGCCTATGCTGGCAATGCACTCAAGGGGTGTGTGCCACCTGGTGACAGCCCACCAGGCAATGGCTCAGGGCCACATCACATCAGTGACTCTCCCTTTGGGACCCTCCCCACTGACACTGCAGCCAGAAGGGTCTGAGTCACCAGGAGTCCCCACCACTGGTCCTCGTGGGAGGCCAGGCTGTTCCCAGGGCAAGTGATGCACCCGCAGTCAGTGTCATCTAGGACAGGTGGGAAGTGGGGGCAGGTGATGCAGAGGGTTCAGTGCCCTGCTGGCCCTGGCCTGCAGCCTTGTGCCCCTTGGCCTTGTGCTAGTGCCTGGAAACCTTACTTGCCTCTAGGACTGAGGATGGGGCAGCTCAAGCAGGCAAGAACACTATTTGCCCAAGGCTCTGCCCCAGGCCCTCTCAGCTCCAGGAGACCCCATTTCTCTCCTTTGAAGACCCCAACAGAGACAGCTCTATGAACAGCCTGATGTAGAGATCTTAGTGTCTGCTCTGTGCCTACACCATTAGTGTCCCTTTGCATACCAGAAGTCTGCCAGCCTGTACCTGATGGGCAGATGGAGCATGGGCAGGAATTTCTTCATCTGGTTTTCTCCCAAGTGGCCCCTGCCACATCCTAGACGACAAAGCCAAACTGCTAGGTCTGAGGTAAGTGCAGGACTCTGTGTGGGGTGGGGTGGGGTGGAGGGTTCTTGCATGTGGGTCAAGATTGGGAAAACTCCCATTTGCAAAGAACCTTGAGGCCCACCAGAGCTCACCACATGCAATGGATGTTGATATATTTAGTGGCTTTTAAGACAGCAAATCCCATCTCTGCTTGCATGCCTCCTGGGACATATCTCACTACATATGCTGGTCCCATTTCTCACTGACAGTCACCTGTCTGGCCTCAGGTTGCTTTCTGTGCCTGTCACCAACAATTGGCCTTCAGGTGAGGGCTGAGAGCCCACCCCTAGTGGTGAATCAGGAGACTCTAAGGCTGAACACAAAGCTGTGACCAAGCTGACAGCTCCAGATTCCCAATCTGAGCCCTGTTTCACATACCAGCAGAGACTCTAGCCTGTCCCTCAAGAATCTGCACTGTATTTTTCCCTTAAAGGAGAAATCCAGGGCACATCAAGTTAGCAGGGACAATGGGCTGACAGGGCCTGCCTGGGGTTTGGAGGGTGACAAAAGGTAAAGGTGAAGCAGAAAGACAAGGTGCCCAGGGGATGTGGGGTGCTTAGTGAGATGAGGCGAGGCAGAATCTAATTTCCTAAGATGGTCCCTCTGGCAGATGCATGCACAGTGGAGGCCTGTGCCCTGGTAGGGATTGGGAGATGGTCCACAATAGTCTGGCCAGTCCTGAAGAGAGGGGTGGGAGGATACAGAAGGCAGTGGATGTGTTTGGAATTGGACTTAACAGGATGGGGCGGAGGCGGCGGGCAGGGCTCCCAAGCGTCTGCCCTAAGCAGCCGGCACGGGGTGCTGGTCCCTGAGGTAGGGGTGCCAGGAGGAGCGGCCGCCTTGTTGAGGCCCAGGAGACATCTGGGCGGGGGTGTCGCGTGGGCTGTGCAGGCTGAGCTCAAGAGAGGGGGCCCGGCTGGAGGACACATTTGGGAGTCGTGAGCATTGGGTGATATTTACAGCCCAGGAAGAGATGAGATCACAGGCCGGCGATGACGAGAGGCCAGAAGGGGGTGGGGTGCTGGGCCAGAACCTGGGGGCTCTGTTCTTGTCCACCCTAACCCCTCCTCATCCCCATCTGCTCAGCCCTGGACCAGCTAGTTCCTTAAGTCAAATACTAGACTGGATGGGTGGGCCACTGTCTAATATCCAATCTTGTTCTCCAGGACCCTCAGGCTAATTAAAGCCACGTGAAACACTGTTGAGCATGTCAACCTCCCCCTGGGTACCCACTGCTGGTTTGCCATGGATGCTCCTGGCCCTCATCCAAGGATGCCAAGCCAGCCACAGAACTCCCTGTGGACAGACTCCTTCACGGTTCACAGGCTCATCCTTATGTCCCAGGCCCTGTTAGGGCTATGCCACCAACCACAATCAGTAGAGGTTGACATCTAGAGCTGAGTTTATAGTAGCTGCAGCCACTGGGGGTAAATAAGCCAGAAGCAAACACCTCAAGGCATTGGGCTCACAGCAGCGCTGCTCCTGAAAGTCAATCTCAGGCAGCCATGGCCTCCGTCCCTGGAGCCCTAGGAGGGCAGTGAGGCACCACTGCAGACCCTCTGGGGACTGAGGTATCCCTGGAGCTGTCTAGGAGCTGCACAGCTAGCCTCAGACAGAAGCACCTGCCCCCTGTTTATCTCTATGCCCCAGGCCTTGCACAGTAATTGGGAGAATTATATTTTAATCTTTAAATTAGTTCTGAAATAATAGAAGCAGCAGAATGTTCAGCAACTGATGATCGACTAATGTCCGGTGAGACTAAGAACATGCCAGAAACATGTTTGGAGAGAAGTGAGAGTTTATTTGTTAGATGAGCTGAGGTCCAGGGGCTGGCCACAGCAGCAGAAGGGTAAGGCCCACTTCTCACAACAGGGGGACACATGGCTCAGTCACAGGCCCCAACTCCAGTTCTCAGCCTCCCAAAGTGGAGCAGGGCCTCACTCTCAAGTGCTCACAGGAACTTGATGTCCCTAGTGTGCAGTTGAGGAAATAGGACCAAAGACATGAAGTGACATGTCCAGGCAAGACTGGGCATGAGGCCACATTTGTTCAGATGCCTAGCTATGAACCAAGGCTCTGATTTAAAGCATTATGTGGTTTCTTCACCCTTGTACCCAGGGATGTCATAGGATTTTAAGTGTCAATCTCTCCTCCTGGGTCATTCAGTCTGGGTTTGTTGCTTGGGAGGGGAGACACACTCTAGGTTATGGTGAACACATGGTAATGCTATGTCTGGTCAGGTGGCCCCCAGGCCATTTACAGCTACAGTGGAGGCTCAGCCTTCAATTTGACTTCTCAGTAATGCCCCGGGCCCTCTGCTGACAAGCTTCATTCCAGTTCCTTACTTAGTCCTGTTCACCTTGCTCCTGATTTGCTCTTTTCCCATCCTGTGCCAGATTGAGGCTGCCCTAGACTCCTGGGCCCTTGTCAGACAGGCCTGGATCCCATGCATATCACAGTTTGGGGGCTTGGCAGAGATCCCAACACAAGGTCCCAGGAAGACAGGTGATGAGTGTCCCTGACTCACCCATTGAGATGCAGCATGAGGGCCCCACTGCTTGGAGGCCATGGAGAGGGAATATGATAAGAGTGGGCATGGTGGCCTCTAGAGCTGTGCCCTTGGGAGGTTGTTTGTGGCGAGACCTGGTATTTCTGAGGCTCCCCCAAAGCACCAACCCTGGGTCTGGAGCCTGAAAATGGCTCTGCTGGCTGATGCCTGCCCAGAATTAGGGTCTAGTGCTAACGTCTGCTCCTGGGGGCATGGGGAAGCTGCCAGGGCACACCTCTGCAGTAGCCGCCCTCACAGGTAAATTGTCCCCCAACCTACATCTGTGCTGCAATGACTAGATCCTGCCCTTGGGTTTGCCTGGCTGTTGTGAGGAATGAGTAAATACTCGTGGAAGCAGTCCCTGCTATGGGGTGGCATGGGAGGGACTATCAGATTGCTATGATGGCTAAGGTCCCCAGCAGGGATCAGATAGTGCTCTTCTGCCATATTGTCCCACCCAGCAACTTATCTTCTTATCCTTCAGATCACAGTATCAAGCTCACACCTGGATTCCCAGCCCCAAGAAAGCCAAAGGAGTCCCTCAGGACCATGGAACAAATGATGGAACCATTTTGGTCTGGGCCTGGCCACCCAAGCACACCTCATACTCTGTGGGACCATCTGGAGCTGGCTATGA